TAAATTTTGTAAATTTTGAAAGTACATTAATAAATTTTTCTTTTTTTATTTTAACCATGTAGGTAAACCTGACCACTTTTCCTTTATTTCATTCTTTTCTTAGCAATAATTAAGAGTAAAATAAGAAAAATAATAATGTTCAAAAAAAAAAAGAAAAATAATAAAATAAGTAGTATAATAATTATCATTCTTAATCTTGATGTGTGGTAAAAAAAAAGTGTTATAAATCAATTTATTATAAATGTTTCACATTTCTTACCTTTCACCTCATTTTCTCATGCATTTATAAGCTAAATATATTGACGAGTAATTCCCTCCCTTTCCTATGTATCTAATGGTGATCTACTCTTATTTGGTGATTAAAACACCACTTTTTAATGCAATTAGAATGATGATAAAGATTTGTCTTCTAACCCGTTTTTTAGTAGTAATAGTGGGTGTTTAATCTTGATAAACCTTAGCAGGCATTAACCCATATATATAGGACTTAATTGTACTCTTGTAAATGATTTTCAAGATTTCTTGACAGTTCAGGCAACATTAATGTCATTCATCAAGTAATCCTCACCTGGATTCATATATATAGGACTTAATTGTACTATTGTAAATGTATTGTGAAAAAAAAAATATATATATATATATCAAAAAAGTGATTTTTAAGATTTTCTGACAGTCTAAACAACATCAGGACCATTCATCATGTGAGCCATTCATCTAATGGTGATCTACATTTTCCGCAACCTCTATATATATATATATATATGTATATAACATTTCTTTTGCATTGTTTCAATGTCTCTCTAATTCTTTCTTCTTCTTTTGTTTATTTCTTTTTTATTTTAGAACAGATAGAAATATATTGTGAAAATGGTGGGCGTCCTATACGTATTTATTAGCTTGCGCGCATGGGCAAAACAAACCAATGCAAAATATCACACGATCTTGAGAAGAAAAACAGACGCCAGAAGGAATGCATTTTAGTTTGGAATCGATTAACAACAAAGCTAATTTCTTAACAAGGATCAGGTTGCTACGTTTTTGCCGAGAACCTTTCACCCAATTTTATTAAGTTGCCTTTCAAAACGCCGTATTTAAATTTATCGAACTTACAAAAGATATAATGGGTCTCTTATGCAAACTTTTCACAAATTCTCACGAGAAAGAAGAATTCAGTTCCAGCTCTCGAAACTTCATGAATTCAGGAAGTAAAAAGACCTCATAATTAATTTCCACCTAAAGCACAGCTACAGGTGCCATGGATGACCTATCAAAGCTACCCCTCAACACCCTCGCTCTCCCCGCCCTCCTCTTCATCTCCGCCATCTTGCTCTCCACCTCCTTCCCCGGTTTCCCATTACCGAAAGGAACTCCAATCGTTGCAGTCACATCCTACCTCATGCCACGACCGTTCATTGCCCAGCCATGGAAAAGGATCCTACTAATCCCTGCATAGTGCAGAGACTCCGCAATTTGCAGTGGCATGACTCCTTTTTCGGTCCTTGCTTCCACATCTGCCCCCTTCTTCACCAGCAGCTCCTCCACCACCTCGCCTGGCCAGCCTCCACCGCCCAATGCAGAACCGTGTAGCCTTCTTCATCCTTCGCTTCAATGTCAACACCATTATCTATCAGAACCCTCACTGCTTCCAATTTTCCCTTGAATGATGCTCGGTGTAAAGCCGTCCATCCATTTTGATCTCTTCCATTGATCACTACCCCATTTTTTATCAACCTCTGAAGGGTTCTCGTCTCCCCTTTTCTAGCGGCAACACAGAAGTTATCTCTGAGCTTTAGTGTATCAAAAAGGCGGGCATAGCCGTACTCGGCAGCAACATCAAAGGCGGTTTTTCCCAGCTTGTTTCGGATTTCCTTGTTGGCTCCTTTCTGAAGCAGCAGTTTCACCGTCTGCTCGTCGCTAAGTCCAGCTGCTATATGCAACGGGGTATTCCGTCTTTGGAATTCCTAACATCAGGCTTGGCACCACTAGATAGCGGCAGCCGCGCACAATCCTTTTTTCTTTCTTCGACAGCTATGTGTGAGGCCGAATTCCAGTCCTTCGTCAGTGCATCAAATATCAATGTTAGCCTTTTTAATAAGGAGCTTCAGAACATCCAAAGGGCCCCCCAGCAGCGAGGTGGATCGGACCCAAATTGGAAGACCGCTCTGTCCAGGCCTTGTGAGCCAATAAAAGCTCGACAATTAGGGCTTCCCCTGCAGTTGCAGCAGCTTCAAGCGGCGTGGAGCCAGAGCGACTCTGCAACTCGATATTTTGCCTCAAGTTCTAAGAGTAACTGAATAATATCAGGTCTGCTCTGTGTCACAGCAATATGAAGCAGAGTCCGCCCCTCGGAATCAATTGAATCAACCGGATTCCACCTGGATCGCTCCGTTCTAATACCTTCCTGATTTCATCCATTGCCCCATCTATGACAAGATGAACCAAAACAGAGGAACCCACAAACATCACCTTCGTCCCACTATCTATAAACACCTGCTTCTTCCTTGTCATGAACCACTCATTTGGTACAGCATCAAAAGTCGACAACGGATCCTTGATTGCAACACCGGGAACCACTACGCTACGGAGAAGGAATGAATCATCACAGTGAGCGAACTTGTCCGGAAGCATTGACCCCGGAGGAAGATGGTAAACAATCTCAACCGTCAATGTCACGAGTGGCGGTATAATCCCTGATTGGGGTCTGACACTGTACCGGGGCTTGTTCACCGGCTGCAGCCTGAATGCTACCGGCATGGTGTACATAACACTGCGCAGTGTGAGCTCCGTAACATTTCTACCCTGGATCGATCCTGATTGCAACAAGATTGGATGGCTCCAAACTGATGAGCCCATCATGATTAAATTTCTTCGTAGGGTATTTGTTTTTTTGTTACCGGAATCCTAGATGGGATTTTCGGGAAGATGATGAAATTGAAGAAATCCCACTAAGGAGGAGAGAAAGTGAAGAAGAAGACTCCGTTCAAGTGTTACAAGAGAGGGAAGGAAATGGTCGGCGCTAATGGGTGATTGCCACGTGGTAGTGTTAAGAACAAGGAAGACTTGTTCTATTCGGTCCGTCTTTATAATTCCGAAGGGGCAGTTGTACAAGTTAAAAAAATGGGAATTGTCTAACACTGAGAGTATACTCTTTTAATAGGAAGATGTTAGGATATGAAGTTTTGAGTTATACAGTCAGGCATTACCAATTCTCCCACCTCAAAAAACTCCTTAAGTTAAAAAAAAAAAAAAAAAAATGTTAAAAGGAAATTGCAAGGTTTCTTTGTACTTTTAGTGAATTGAAATGGGCAATCGTCAACCTTTTGAGTGTTGTTCAATTAGATCCTCAATTTTTGTTTGTTTTGGTTATGTGCTACCTCTTTTCATTTGTTTTCATCAATATAAAAATGTGTGAAATTAAAATTCATCTACAACTATTTTAAATGTTAAGAGTCATGCCTAAATTTTAGGCCATAATATATTTTCTTTTAGAAGTTGAAGGGATGAGATTTAAATGTAAAGTTCAAATTCATATATTACCATTGAATGCGAATAATTCTAATAAGTCATGCTCACTAACATTGGGTGAAGATTGACCTATTATCTACAAATGAATACTTGTGTGACTAAACATCAAAATATCCATGCTATTTAAAGAATGATATTACAGATCTAGTTAAACTAAAGGGAAATAAGAAAAGAAATTTGAAGGGCCTAAATGAAATAATTAAGAAATCAGAGACCTTATTAAACCAATCTTAAAAGATACTATCTCTACATTTACACTGCTTTTTCTCCCAGAGTTTTGTATATTCCAGTCAATTACATAGCTATGGCCAAAAAAAGTCCCTTTCATAGGTTTTGTCTTTCAATTATATAATGAACAAGAAACTGCTAACATTAGATTATAAAGAGGGAATAATTTGTATGCCTTGATGATGCATTCAAAGGGAAACTTAGAGCTTTTTCTTTGAAAGAGAATGGAAAGGGTCATTGTTTTTGTTTTTTTTTTTTTGAACATGGGTCATTGTTTTTGTTGATTGGGTAATGAAAACAGAATATAATTTCGGCATAATTTGGTATTATAAATTGTACTTGGTCTTTTTTCTTGCTGGTATTCCATGTGGGATTGGTGACACTTTCGTTTAAGTAATTTCCATTTGTAAACTAGAGAAGCAAACAGTGTATGGCTACCAATTCTAACCAACAAAATTTTGTGGGACTTTCTAGTTTCAATGTGGAGCCACCATTTGGTTTTTGAATTCTATTGCCGGAAGGTGTCCCTTTCATTTTATTGTTGGCTTTTGATCTTAGTTCCTGCCATTATGTTAGACTGTCTCAAGTTAACCTTTCTATAAAAAGTCTTTGGGGCCGTAGTTATGAGATATATTGATGTTTACTTTCGCCAAGAAGGCCTTTTTTTTTTCAATGATAAAATGATCATATAAGATCTTTGAAGATGTTATGATGGGACCATTTATTTTATATTTTATTTTAAATTGTATAATAAAAGTTTACTCTTTTTATTTTTTTAACTTATCTTATTAATATGTTATATGACTCGATATTAAAATTTTTTTACTTTTATGAAAAAAAATATTACTGTCAAACTACTTAAATTATTGATAAATTAACCTCTATATAGATGATAATAACAATTCATATATAATAGATCACAGCCATCTCCTTTAGATGAATTATATCTATATTTATTAATGATTTTCCTCTCAATTCTAATAAAAAAAATTTATCATAAAAAACATACAAGTGAAATAAATAATAAAGCAAAATTAACAAAGAAGATGAATGCTAATTTTAATGCGGAAAACTCTCTCTACATTAGAAAAAACCACAAAAAAATAAAAATAAATTCATTAATTATGAGAAAAGTTACGTCTATGAATTTGGTACTACTCTCCTATAAAACTCTCGCATCTTGCCTTTCAGATTTTTCCCAAATTCTCCATTAACCCTCGAAAGATTCTCGGATAATTTCTTTATTTCTCTCACCACTCAAAACAAAAGTTCAAAAGATTCTCACATCTTACGCTTATACACCCTCTCCAATGTTAAATTTAAAGGGTAATTAACACATCAAACAGAGAATTGGACAGAAGACAAAATTGGAGAACAGCAGAACCATTTTATCGTCTGGTTTGCAAAGGACGAAAAGTGCATATGAAGCAAAGCAACAACAAAGAAATCAATAATTGAAAATTTCGTTTTAACTTATTCTATGTCTTTTAGCTATTCGTAACTTCCAACACACAAATATTTCACCAAACTGGTTTCTTGTGGAGAAAATGGAAAAGGGAATAATCTCTTATCAAATGAGATTTAGGGGAATACGGCCAATAGATTACAAAGTTTCATAGGAATTAACTGATTAGTGATTATTTTATGTCAACGAAAAATTTATCTATTGATGTTAAGAATTCATTTTTCGGTCTTTTGGCTTAAGTAGAAATGTGGAATTGAATGTGGAATTTTAAGTTTCAACTCATGCCTTTTTTTGGGTGCTGCTGAGAACATTTAGGGGCTGTTTGGTTGAGGAAAACTTTTCATTCTAAACTTCTATAAACTCTCTTTTGCAAATTTATTTATGTATTTTCAAACATTAATACCACGACAAAGGAGGGTAAGAGTAGCATTTTTTGTTTTTATATTTTTAACACAATTCTCAATCTATAAATTTTTCTTATCACACCTTTCGAAAAAAAAAAAAAAGTTTATTCCCAACTTTGGCAATGTATAATTCAATAGCTTTCTTCCCAACTTTTTCTATGCTAATTTCTTACTAAACATAGAAAAGTTAACAGTTTAATAAAATTCCAACAAAATATTATTACAAAATTTATTACCTTCCCGTATAATACTTATCAACTTCCCTAACTACTTTTCTAATAAAAACTTCCCTAATAAAGTTGGCTCTCTAACTAAACAAGCCCTCAAAGCAAGAAACAACCTTACTGGGCCAACTGATTCACCTCTCAATGCCTAAAGACCTAAGGAGCTCTAGGTGGGAGCTTTGGTTCAATTACGCGTGAAGAACAGATATTCCAAAGTAACAAATACCAAAAAACTTTCTGAATAAAGAACAGTACATGCTATACGAGAATAAAGATTACATAATGTTTTACCGGAGTTGAGATAATTACGAAGTTAACAGCAAAGAATTAGGTATACTGATTCAAATTATATATACAAGCCACTCTATCAACCGTTCAAATGTATGACTAACAGTCTGACTACCCACTATTTTGCACACGAGCAATAGAGAGTAGACATTACAGAAATGAAAATTAATAGAAGTGTATTTATTTACAACTTTGCTCCATAGTCCATTATCACTTGATTGCTCCAAGCAAATTAGCACCGTCGAGCTTGGCACCATCCAAACGCTGATAGGTGATAAAAGTTTAAACAAAATTTATTTTAATAAACATATAGGACTTTCCTATAAATACAGATGCAAGGATTAGACATTCTCATACTGACAGCATAACTAATGTGGAAAACTTCTACATCATTCATTATATCAAGATGCACCCCAAAAATTTAGGAGAAACTGCTAACTAATCAAGTCATATAAAGTTGAAATTTACTTACTGCATCGCGAAGATTAACATGTCGTAAATAAGCTCGTTGAAGGTTTGCATTCTTCAAATTAGCATTGCTTAGTTTCGCACCCTGAAAAATACATGATTTCATAGATAAAATGTTATACAAGCCAACAGCCTGAGGCTAACAATACACAAAAAAACATGTTTCAAAACCTCCCTACCTTCAAATTGGCTCCTTCCAGATTAGCTCCCTCTAAGTTGGCATTTGTGAGATCAGCAGTCTGGAAAATTGAAAGGACAGGGCATATTAGCAGCTATATTATGAATAAGCTGAGAAGAAAACTGCCAAAAGTTATTTATGAGGAAATATGAATCATAAATGCTTATCAAGAAAATCAGCCTTAGCTATATTTTTACTAATTAGTTTCCTCAAAAGACTATAAGTTAAAGCCACTTGTTACATGTATCACCACTTTGATAAATTAAATATATACACTTAAATCATAATTTTAATAATGTGATACAGGTTTTTCCTTATATCATGTCTCAATTAATATTCCTTCCTCATTCTTTGGTACAGCCTTTTGTTTACCTAGTTTCAAGTTTAGGATGCATATGACCTTCCTAACAAGATAAAATGAAAAAAAAAAAAAAAACTATTGCAAAACTGGTAAAACTAGCCACTTAAAAGCCTATTTTGATTTACCAAGTTTCAAGAATGATAAAAGAAATTTTTTTTGAATAAATCCATATTTCTCTTCTCCAGACATGCAGGATAACGTAATTCACAGATCACCTGCAAGTGTGCAGTGCGCAGGTCTGCTCCACAGAAGCTACAATTTACCAAACAGGCATCTGCAGTAAGGAAACAAGATTTGATTACAATCTTAGAAGACATAAGCAAACAAGATAGAGATGTAACTGAAAACCCAAAATTCTGGTCATATCTTAACCAACAAAAAAAAAAAAAAATTCCCACTTAATCAAAACAGTACTCTCTTGACAAACTATATTTCACAACACTGCACTAAATTCAAGTTCCGGTCCATCTCACCCAGGAGGAATATAGACTTGCATAACTTGCTCTGAAATATAATTTTCACTTTTGAGTCATCTAGGAATTGGACAAAGCAGTTATCAGAATTACAAAAAGCATAATGCAAACCTTTCCTATAACTTCTGTATCTAAATTTCTTTCATTCTTCATGTGAGTCATAAGGGATATGTATCTCATAGCATTATGTGGTTGGATTTAATCTGAAATATACTAACTATAATCAAAATAAAAATAAAAAAATGAAAAATTGCCTTGTAGATTAGCACTCTGTAGATTAGCACCAGCTAGTAAAGCTCCACGAAGATTAGCCCCTGTGAATTCACACCTTCCCTAGGCAAAAATAAAATCATCAGTGATGCAGTGTGAAACAAAAACAACAACAACATCAACAACAACAACAGTAGTAATAGTAATAATAACCATGATAATAATAAAATAAAAGATGCACAAGATATAACTATTTTTTAATAGGGAAAATAGTTATGTTGAGCATCTTACTCATGCAAAGTTGCATTATGAAATATGGACCCCTCAGCATCCACATCCTGTAATGACATTAGAAGAGTTCAATAGGATTATCAATACAGCATAAAACATGAAGTATTGTCCACAAGGAACCATAAATAACCTTTCTAATGAACCATAGAAAGGTCTTAATGTTTATTCTGTGCATGCTTTTGTCAGCAAAATTACACACTTCACTAAAAATCATTAACCTAGGCATACCCGGAATTTTGCACATTGGAGATTTGCACGTGAGAAGAATATATTTTTAAGACAAGCATGGCTGAAGTCCACATATGATAGATCCTGCATAAATAGAAGGAAGACAAGATTTGCATGAGAGTGCAGTTAATAGTGGCATTAATCTGTTGGGCTAAAAAGATCTAAACTGCCAGGAAGAAACTATCAATTACACACTTCACTAAAAATCAAACAAATAGCAGAACGTAATTCTCCTTTGACCAATCATTAGTCAACCCATTAAGTGAAGAGAACTAAAACATGCAGATGCACAGTACTTTTAGATAGAATTTCTTCGTCAAATAAGGGGAAAAAAAGTCACTCAATGTAGCTACTATTTCAATTGATTAATCAGACAAGTGTAACTTCCATTACACAAAATTGTATTTGTCAAAAACAAGACATGAAATTCTGTAAAGCACA